CATATATTTATAATATATATATATATAAAGTTTCATTAGTTCTTCCGTATCTTATCAACAATAATGGTATAAATAGCAGCCGACGTGACGCTGAAAGGTTTAATATTTCACTGATCGCATATCCCCCTTACGGCTGCAGGATATGAGCGAAGAAGCGTCGACCTAATAACGCAGTCGTTAGATAAAGTTGAAATATACGTTCGATGAAAGATCGAATGTACGGAAACCGGATATTTCATTTTGAAACTCGACGCCGCGATACGTCAACGTAGAATTGCCCTCGCCCGTACTACTGCCGAACTTCCGTTACAAATTTTACTCTTTCGCCCATCCCCGAGTAAAGTAATTGGCTTCCTCCCCCCCCTTCTCTCTCTTTCTCTCTTTCTTCTTATAGATCCTCCTGATGTTACAGAGTTAAGTGTCTCGCGGATCTGCTTTCTTCCTTTTGCGAGGAGCGGAAAGTCCTGGCATTCGAGTTCATAAATTTCATCTCGCGCGCCGTCGAATTTCCCGATGAAAAAGATTTACGAGGAGTAGAAATGCCGGAGGAAAGAAAGGAAGACGACTGAGAGAAAGAGAGAGAGGCCTGTTTCCTCATAACCCGTTTCCTAATATTCCTTTAATTTCCCGTTTTCCATGGCCTACTTCGCGTGACTCTCTGCAATTTGACTAATTTGATTAAACAATGTTTCTCTCTCTCTCTCTCTCTCTCTCTCTCTCTCTCTCTCTCTCTCTCTCTCTCTCTACAACGTTCTAAAAAGTGTTGTGACAACCGGGAGGATCTCGTTTCAGTTTCCTCTTCTTCGTTTCTATTGTTTTTCAGTTTTCGCGGTGTCAAAGAACCCTCGTATGATGTACCATCTCGTGTGAGAAGTCGATTAAATGCCATCTATTTGCATAGCAATGCATAATAATTAGGGACTAAACTAGGACGCGACAGATTGGTACGAGCAGCTTAGCCACCTGTCTATCGTCGCGCATCAACTGCAGTATGCAACCACAATCCTTCGTAATGCCGAAGCATGCTACATCTTGCAGATGCTCCCTCCACATATCTCGTATAAGGGGTGTAAATATGCGCCAGCCGCGAATTCTACCTTGTACCTCCGGGTGCGGATTTTCCGCGAATAACCGTTGATCACTATCGACCAATCTGTTACGATATTAAATTTCAACTTGTTTTTATTTCTTATCGTATTACTCCTTAATTTATGATCGCCAACCCGCTTGTAAACCGTTGTTTAATAAAGACGTTTCCTACTTTTTCATAAATTGTACTTTGCTTAAGATAATGTCTACTACTCCTATAATTAAACGCTTTTATTTATAATACAAGCTATATTGAAAAGCGTTAAAATAAAGAATTAATACTTAGTAGAATTAAAGTAAAATTAAAACACGATATTGTAATTACGCGTATTTTTTTATGTGAAACAATTTGTTTGTGCAGTTATAGTTTTCAAGGTTCAACATTTTTATCTTCTTTGTTCCCAGACATATTCGGAGAAAAATTGTATCGTCTTAGCTCCGACCAAAATGCCACGGGACGTCACCAAATAGAAACTTTCATTGCAATTTTGAAATGCCACGATGCCCGATAATAGAATTGTATTTTTGTAGGAAAGTATTGAAAATTGTAGTAGATACAGTGACTTGACAACATCAAATAATCGTATTTATAAAACTAACGCATAAATTTATGCGTAAATTTAAAAAATAAAATTGTGCACATAAGACTTGAAGTACAGCGTAAAGACTAATATTATAGAGCAACTTGAACAGCGTCAAACATTCGATTCGTGAATAACGTTGATCTGACATTTCATTTGGGATCGAAACTCAAAATTATTTTACCTATTATGCTTTAAGTTAACAACCAAAGAGAAGTTACGGATGCTGCAGCATGCGTCGCAAAGCTCGACCTGACAAATGGCGCCGAATTAAAAAACTACATATCGATATGAAGGAGGGTCAAAGTACGTAAGATGTTCGCAAGATTAGCCTACAAGTTAACTATTATCATTAATTATTATAATAGTACATGATTAATTTATGTGACTATTATATAAATTTTGAGAAGCAGAAAATTCCTCAGCGAGAAAATAGCGTTCCGCTTGAATTTTCCGTTGTCGACCATGCGATAATTATTCGCTGACAGAAGATAATTTAACGCGCGTTATTAAATGCGTTGCGACACGACGCGGAGAGCCTTGCTCTCGCGTTTATTCCATCTCGGGCGCGATTCACTTTCCAAGCTACGAAAATCCATTACAATCTTTCTCGCCCGCGTCTCGTATCATACAATATACGGGGCGTCCTGGCTTCAAAGAACATACACCCCCATCCAGTCTGCTTCTCTCTCTTTCTCTCTTTCTCCCTTTCTCTCTTATATCCTGCCGCGATGCTTTGCGAGGTGAACGCGCAATATAATCTCAGTACATACAAGAATGGTATCTCGAAGCGCGCGTTTCGATCGCGCGAGTCGCTCGCTCGGGAGTGTTTGGTCGTTCCGAAAATTGCGGACGATGAGCTCGCGCGTCTGCACGCTCCATTGAGCCCGCATCGCTTCCGGTACGTTGTTCCGTCATCGAGTCGCAGAACACGTCAGAAATGCGACGTATTATTTCGTGAGAGGGTTGAGTGGAGACGGGTAAGATCGACAGGGGCGCGGGACGGGTGGAAATCACGGCGGTAGGAACCGAAGGGGGATGAATGAGCAAGGGGGAGGAAAGGGAAGGCGAGAAGTGAAGTGGTCGTGCACTTTACGAAATGAGATACACCCACGTCGATAAAATGCGACCACACCTATATGTACCTGGGTATAGCGTTACGGGTATAGCGGCGGAATTAAGAACGGCGCTGCAAACTAACGGCAGGTTGGAAGTAAGAATCCGCTGACACGTTTAATCGTTCGTCGTGCATTTCGCTGAGAGAAATGCAATTCGCCATCGGTCGAGGGGCGAGTAATCGCAGGACCGTTTTATCGCTCACGATTGCAGTACGTTGCCTGGCACGTAGCTAAGATTTATAGGCGTCCAAAAACTCCTTATCTTCCTTTGTTAGAATGATAAATTCTTCGGATAGCCCGAGACGTTGGATATACATCGAGACATGTTTGCGTTGCATGAATCGCGATTGATGAGGAAAGAAAACGTAAAAATGTTGAACGTGATAACGATCGTCTCTTGCATCGATTTCATCTTACATCATATTATAATTAATGTTTCAATTTCGTTACGATGCATGGAAAGAAATAGTTTTATTGACTACATGCGGCACCTTTAATCGGGATGTAATAACGTCCACAGTTATAAAACTGGCCACAGTTATTCCATTCTTGAGAAGAATAGCTATGATTAGTCAATTTTATAACTACGGATTTTATCAACAGTGCCTTGTAAACGTAGTTATTGAAGTATCTGAAAATTTAGCTAAACATGGAAATCTGAAACAATTTTTTTGAACTATCAAAATAATTATATGGAACGTTTAAGGTTTGGTTGTTAGAATATCAAAAATTTTTGCAGCATTATTTACGCTTAATTTCCTACATTATTAAATTCATAATGTCAAATTATACTCAATTTGAGTTACTTTTAATTCAGATCTACATGCCGCCACTGTTCCTATTCAATATATTGTTAATTTGACTCAAACAATAAGGTTAAACAATTTAACTCAATATAATTATTCAATTTGTATTCAATTTGACTTAAATTTATTTTATTATTTATTAAGTACCTACGTTAATATGGATAATGTTTACTCCGAAATTAATCACAGAAACATGGATTGATTTACGTTTTGACTCAAATAAAAATTGATAATAATAAAATGTTATTTAATTCAAGGGATTGAATTATTGTTGTTCTTTTGATATCTAACACGAAAAATGTAGATATAATTATATTGACATAGTTCAACGAAATTATTTTCAATTAAGAGAAATAAATTTATTTTTTCAATTAAAAAATAAATTTATTTTTGGTCAAAGTAGATTTTAATGCTTAAATATTTATTTCAGAATGAATTTATATATTCAAGTTTGAAATCTAAGTCCGAATCTCAGCTGAGGCAATATTTCACATAGTAAATTAAATTATTTGTAGCTTTAAGATGTTTAGATTAGCTTTAAATTATTAATATCCTTCAAAGATACTTATTAACGCCATAAATTGATTGTCAATATGTAATGTTAATATGTAATATTACTACTCTAATTCTGCTCATGATTACGTTTCAAGACCAGAAAAGATTTCGGCGCATGGTTTGCAAAATTGGATATGTATGTAAATTCATCCTAAAATATTAAGCATTAAGATCAGCTTTGACCGAGAATAGATTTATTTCTCCTAATTGATTTATTCTCGTCGATTTAATTTTATATAAATTATGAATGTTAAAATTATTTTCAGATCTATATCTAACTAAATTTTTATATATCTCAGCAAAATCGTTTTTTTTTTCGCGTAATTAATAACAAAAGTATAGGCAAAAATGCAGTTTGCCTGCAGCGTATAATCACAGTTTTTAATCGTAACGCATCGTCAATATTTCAACGTCAGTAATCTAGTTGCATTGCACTAGCTCGCGTATTACTTTTTGTATATGTACCATTCGTTGTTTTTATTCAATTTTTTATCGGTCGTTATATCTTATTTCTTTACGAAGCGACCATGGTTGCATCAAACGTTGCGGTTTCGGTTTTGTGAGCGAATAAAGGCTTGCGAATTTTTATCCGTTCTCGATTCTATATAATCATCAATCGGAGCACAGCAAAGATAGCGTCTCAGAGCGCGTTTCCAATATCGATTTATCCGCCGACGATTAAATCCCGATCGTATCTCCTCAGCGAAAAGGACTTCTCGTGTTCGTCCAGACACCTTCAGAAGCGCCGTGGCGTATGCTACACGCAAGTTGTAACAAACGATCCATATTTCATCGAACGCTGAAAGGACCATTTTCCCGCGAGGTCGCTCGCTTCCTTCCCCTCCTCCCTCCCTTCGCCCGTCTCGCAATTTTCCGTCCGTCAAATACGCCGCGCGAGGCGCTGGATATGGATCGGCGGTGGAATACATCCACGTGGAAATAAAAAATGTATGCCAATACGCGTGGAGTGCGAAGCTGAAACCGTTGTCGATCAATCGTACCGCGATACCCCTTCTCGCAATCAATCGCAGACGACTCGGTAGCGCAGATTCCACGTTCCATCAAAATCTGTCTTTGTCGGTACATTAGAAACGCGAGTGGTTTTAGAAGAAGTGGCACATATTTCCTCGTAGTTTTACTACTCGTTTTAAATTATCTTATCAATTTTAATCGTTTTAAATTAGCTTATCAATTTCAATCGATGTGGGTTCTCGTTTGCGCTTGAAAAAAATTATCTTTACGGGAACTAAAATAGGATCAGATATATTTCATATTATATATACTGATAAAATTATAAAACGTAATGATAAATCCTTCATTTTTGATGGGTCATAAGAACGACAGTGTTCATATAAAGAACACTTATAATAATCTTATTATTTAATTATAATATCTGACTGACTACGAGAATATCATATCAAATAATTTAAAGCATAATTCGATGTACGACAGATAATAATACGTTTTTCTTTCTCTTCAATAAGCTTTATCGTATTACTCATCATCGGAAAAGTCATATAAATCGTACTAATTTTGGATAGCAGGTCAAACGTATGCCATATCCGGTGAAGCCCAGACCGCCCTCTCGGCCGTCATCGAAAGTATGCTGGAGGAGTGCCTGGTAGACGCCAAGAACTTAGCTACGATGGCTGGTAAAAGCTACGTCACCCCTGAAGAAATGGAGAACGCATTAAGGAAACTCTGCTTACGTTTAAACGCGCAGCCAAGCATGTTGAGTAAACAGAAAGTTAACACGCAGCAGCGCGAAGATCTGAACTGAGAGTTTCGCAAAATGTTCCCGAGGAGATGTCTTTACGGTGTCAAACAATTTAAATGTCAAAAAACAGAAAGAGAGAAAGAGAGAGAGAGAGAGAGAGAGAGAGAGAGAGAAAATGAAAGAAGAAAATTCTTGTGTTATCGTCTATATTGCTAATAAATGTCGAATAATAATTGTACGAAAGTGTTACCGTTCGCGAACAGTGTTCAACTTTATTGTTCATAATATTCATCGTGATTATTCATATAGCGATTCTGTTGAGAAAATTAAGAAAATTATTTTATTACTTTGTGAAACGTGTAAAGAATAATGATAACTATAAATAATTGAATTCTCGTTTAAATAAAAAGAATAAGAATGCAGCGATTTGAAAAGTTGCAATTTTTCTTGCGTAAAAAAACATGAAAAGAATGGTTTTGCTGAAGTATCTAAAAGTTTAGATAAATACAGATCTGAAGATAATTTTGTCGCACTATCAAAATAATTATGTAAGATACTTAAATATGCTGAACAATGTTGCAAATAATTTTAACATCTACCAACTATCTTGACGTACACGAGTGAAAAACGACATACTCAATCATTTCTTATACGGAAATAATGGTTTTGCTGAGATACCTAAAAAATTTAGTTAAATATTATACTTAGATCTCAAAATAATTTTGTACTCTAGTTCTGTTTATGGTTAGAAATTATATAAAATCATAAGAAATATTATTAAGCACGAAGAACCGCCTCGACCAAATATAGCGTTTTTCACTTATGGTTTTATCTTACCGATCTGTTTTCGTTCAACTGTCTTGAGATTTCTACATTATTATTTTGATAATTATTTTCAGATCTATAATTAATTAATTTTTTAAATACCTCAGCAAAATCATTATTTCTGTGCACCAAAATGAAAAAAATACCGTTTTTTTTTACGTAATTTTAATAATCTAAAATTATATCTTGGATATAATATTTATTGGAGAAACTATCATGTTATTGAGAGGTTAATATCTCTCACAATATGTGTCGTGATTGTTTAAAGTATAACAAGCATGTATCCATCAATAACAATTATTTGTTCCGCCTTTGACTTTGATTGAAATTCCTCTCATTTAATGTGACGAATCACGAGGGCTCTTCTGTGTTCATCACGTTGAGAGTGGCCATCGTGACAATGGTCAAGCAGTTGTTGCGAATTTGCTGGCAATCCGTGCGACAAAGCGTTACTCGCGTGACCGGGAAAATTCATTAAATGACGCGCGATAAACTAAAAATAATTCTATCCGGTATTGTCATGCGTTAATGAACAGGGATATATATTTTTTTTTCGCAGTAACGTATATTTTTCACGTCTCGTTGATCTTGCGGTCGTCTCGTCGACAATGAGAATTCATGCAAAGGATGAAATTCTCTTGTCTGCTCAATGTAACAAAATATATCTCTGTTTTTGGGAATTAAAACCCTATTGTAAGTCTACGTGTAAATTCAAAAACAAAGGAATAATAATATCATATTATACGATATTCGCATTAACATGCTGCTTTGCGCATGGAATTTCGTGGAGAATACATATACGCTGTTTTAAATTCGGCATCGTAACTTTCACTTGCATGATAATTAACAAGCTCTGCTATAAAACAAATGTAACAAATGAATGTTCCTTTTTAATAATATTTTCTTTATATTATGTATGTTTAATAGGTCCATTCGCATTGAAATCTTCAAAAATGTTTGCACTAAAAATGAGATAATTACACATATAAAATAAACATCTCTGCAGTGACCGGACATACTATATCCGAACATTTACATAAAAAACTTTACTTGTTTATGTTATTATTAATCTCAAATGCTTTTTAAACTAATCTTTAAATATAACTAAATATAATAATATAAATATAATTGTAATAAAAAAAAACGTTTGAGGTTACTAATAATAAATCTGGTGTAAGCGTCCGGATGTACATCCGGAGAAAGGTTTCTTCCATAAAAAGATATGTTCGATTTCAAAAACTGACGTTCAAATCGAAAATATTTTTTTCTGTAATTTGATTTTTTTTAATTATAGCAAAGGAACATTTTGTTGAATCAAAGAAATCTTTCTCTAAGTGCAGGTACATGTCACTGGGACGTTTTTCTTATTCAAACGTTGAAAAAAAAGCGAAGATGCTGAATACAAAAAGTACAAATAACGCGAACAGATTTTTATTTATCGAAACCATACACTCAACGACATGTACCATCAAACTGAGCATCTCGCATTACAACCAAATCCAACAACATTAAACCCACTACGATCTGTCGAGTGTACAACATGGACGTTATTGCGTGGAGATAGATCAAAGCAGAGCATTTACTTAGACTTGACTGGCATGTCATCAAAGTTTTCCGTGTAGCTTGACATCAAATAAAAGTCATCTGAGAAAGAACGGTCTTAATCCGTCTCGCACCGGAATCGCCGTTTGAAATTATATCTCACTAACGACGTTCCGCGCGAGCTTTCTAGACGATGGCATTCTTAGATTGAAGTCTCGGCTGGATTCAGCTTGAAGAATGTGTTTTATTCATGTCACTCCGATCCTCCGATGATACCGTGGCCAAGAGAGCACGGTCTCTTTCCACGTGTCGCATAAAGGCCGAGAGAAAAACAGCGGCGCACAAAATATCTCCGTTCGACAGACGCGCGAGGCTCAATATTTTACGGGCGGATCCACGTGAAATAATTGGGACGCGTTAACAATGGACTCGGTCCGTCCTTCCTACCTTTTTTTTTTGTTCGTTTGTCTTGTTTTTGTTTCCTCTCTCCACCCATGTTTTTTTTCCCTACCCCCTTTTTTCCATTTCGACGCGTCGCGATCGAAAAGTTAATAGATACGTGAAATGGCGCGCGATATTCGTTACAGTGCCACGCCGATTTTATTTGTAACTCGAAAATTCGCTGTTTCATAAAACGAGATTCGCAGATACGTACGTACCTGAAGCCGCGCGCTCCGGCCGGAAAATATTTTTTTCCGTGACAGTTTCGCGGGAACGACAAAAAAAAAAGAAGGGTAGAAAAAAAGAGGGTGGAAGGGGACGGGGGGATGGCCGGTGATAATCAATCGAAAAATGATTTGGAATGGCGTAACGGACCGATCGCCACGTCATAAATCTTGCAACCTAGCGATTAAGCAGATATGTCCACCTGCCAAAGCGAATATTCACGATTTTTGATATACGGGGATAAATCCGGAATACAATTACGTGCGTGTGTCGAAGCGTGCAGCTTGGAAATGTTATATCTGATGTGACCGTTGTCTAAGCATTGCTCGACCATGCTAATTGGCAATTGAATATTCAAGTACGATAAAAATGAATTTAAATAAATACATGCGTAAATTAACAGACGTATTTATTTATCCAGCAGCATAGCATATCTAACATTCGCCGAGATTGTAATTTTCGTAATTCTGTATTCAGATATTATCGTTACCTGAGGATAACAGAATAATTGTTAGCTTTGTATCTGTTTCCGTCACCGTGATTTTTACTAATATTTTATAAATTATTCAACAATTACTTTTCACTCGAGATTTTATAAAAGTAAAAAAGAAAATTTTGTCCAAAAATGCTTTATGAAAAAATAACAAACATGCGAAATGTTTATCGGTGGAAAATAATTTCTCCTCTGCATGAGAAAGGCGCAGATTGGAAAGGTATTTAATAAACGAGTAGTTACGAATTTATAGATGTTGAATATTCATTCGTATCCTCTTCTGTGGAGTGTTTAATATTTGGTAAAATAATTTAAGTCGGTGTTTTAATTATTGACCCACGAGAGAGAACATTTCATATGAGGAATATTCTCCGGACAAAGAAATTATATATCGTGCAGGTGGTCTATGGGCTCGAAACTATCAGAGAACAAATTAATTTCGACCTCACGCGCCTTTCGTCGGAAAGCCCTCCGTGTCGTGCGTGTTCCGCCTCTTCGGTCTGTCATAATAATAGCTACTCAATTCTGATCCTGCATAACTGAACTTTAATTAAATAATTCTCCTACCTGTGCGTTTGTCAAGAGAAAGGAAGAGAAAACGTGAACAAAAAGATATGTAAATCTGAATCACACAAACGCGCAATTAATGCGCATATAAAATTTAAATTCTCGGTTTTTTGAAGATCTGCTTAGATCAGCATCTATCAATCGTTCCATTACTCCGTCAATGGATAGTATCGAATGAGTGTGAATAAAGTAGGAGTGGAAAGAATAAAAAGAAAAAAATTGATATCGCAAAATCTATTCCTATTTCTATCTGTATAAACTAATTTAATGTTATAATCTAATGCAATTAACGTCGTTTATAAAGAATAAAATATTTACTAATATTGCTTACAAATTTATTTAAAAATTCGTATAAAAGTTGGAGTATATAAAAAATATATTTGATATACTCTTCAATATTTGATAGTAGATTTTCTCGCCTTCAAAAATCTATTTTTCCAGCAATAATAAAATATTTAGATTTATCTATTGCGCCATTTGGCTACACGTATGTACACGTTTTATTATAAAAAAAAATTTCAAATTGGTAGATTTATTTCACACATACAAACACACAACACACACACACATTCATACATACAAATAAAATCCTTTTTCCTTATTCTATTTTCTTTAGCTAAGAACTTCGATTTCGTTATCGCTTGCACAGCACAAGATTGGTCATGTCTCGGAGACACCAAGGTGGTCTATGTCCGTGACCAGAATTAACAAATTAACGTGAGGGCGTTCCGCTGGGAATTAGTTCATTCTCTCTCACTACGTTGACGAAACGGACCCTTCCCGGTCAAGTCTCTTTCCCGTCTGTTATTTCTCGCGTGCATCGCGTAAAATAATAACTTTATGACACTCCAAAATGAAACGGGCCGCGTGAGCGAAAGAAAGGACCGTGGGATAAGGTGAGTAGGTGAGATGGTGAGAAGAAATGGTACGAGAGACACAGAGGGAGAGGTAAAAGGCGAGTCAAAGAGAAGAGAAGAGAAGACAAGAGGAGAAGCAGAAAAGGGTGGAGGGAGAGAAATCTTGGCGCGAAACGAAAGAATAGAAACTAAAATAGTCCCCACGACTCGAAACGAAGGAAAAACTCATTCCGCCGTCTGCTCGCTCGCAGCCCTGAGCTGCTCTATTGTGAGACGGCCAACTATTGTGCAGTTCGCGGTAACCATGGACCACCGTCGTTCGTTTCTCGTCCCCCTTCACCCACCGCCGGTCATCTTCTCGTCCTTTCTTTCGAACCTCCGCAGAATCCACCACCTCAGTCGCGAGCACCCTCCGTACATCATTTCTTTTTGTTCCGACGCAGTCGCGTTACGAAACGATGCGACAGCCCGTCGAAACGGCGC